TTCCTACAATGAATGTTCCGGTTTGCAAGATTGGTAATACAATATCCTCTAATAGTGACACAAGGTACGAGCCGTATAGGATCCATCCAAAGAGTACCACAAGCACAAGTGGTACTATCGGCGATGGCCCTTTGCTCTCCATATTTCCTCTCTCGACCTTAGCCCGGAGGTTAAGGATCTCTAAACATTTAATCTATTGTTGTCCTCTATTTCATTGCTTTTATATTCTTAAGTGACAAAGTCATGTTGGTGTTGGATGAAGATGAGTTGATCAGAATGAGAAGTTGTGATTAAGTTTTTTATAGGTGATATGTTTGGATGCATGCGGTTAGATAACCTAATTAACGCAAATTTCTTTTTAATATTTCCCTTATGATCAACAATACCTATTATTACTTTTTTTAATAGATTCTATCATCTTATGGATCATAAAAGTAAATGTTTAGTGTTCTCGACGAATGGTATACCAATAATCTAGTTTAGGTTCAATACTAAAAAACGATTTAATCCACACATAGTAGATCGCCAGAATCATCAACTTACAAATGCCTTCTTCTATGAATCATTTGTAAAACTTGATTGGTTATTAATAAAAAGATTTTATTTTTTTATTTTTTAAACGGCTGAATAATATTGAAACTAAATAATTTGTTTTGTCAATCACATAATTGTTTTTCAATTATCTCTTTCTTTATTGCTACTTTTACATTTTCGTTTGTTAAATTGTTCAACTGCCTATACGTTTGATACGAGAAGATAAACAACTTCCGTACCAAGTTAAGAAAATACTTGCATCTGATTCTGACCATGTCAACAGTAGTTAGTCAGAAGTTTATTATGAATCTTATGATATTATTTGAATATTAAGTTACCACTGTAATGGTAAATGCAAACTCTTTTTTCTTCCAGAAATGCTATAATAATAATATACATACGTTATTAAGGATAATTACATCTTTTCAACTAATCAACAACATGTTTCTTAAAGTTTATTATAATTTTGTCTCTGTTGAAATCGAATTCGTGCGGTTTTGCAGTTGAAATCGAGCTAAAGCTTAAATGTAAAACTTCTGTATGATATATGCAAAGGACATCTAAACAATAACTTGATATATATATAATATCATCAAAGCAAAATGCTAATACCAATATGAAGATCTCTGTTTTTATATCATGTAAGAGCCACAAAGGCTCTCAAGATCGTCTCAAGAAATCAGTGGACGGTTGATGTTGTAGCTCATTCACGTTCGGGTTGAAGCCACCACCACGCCGCTTGTTGATCAACTCCATGAGTGATCGGTGCAGCACCTGCGTCCTCGTGTCCACCAGGGATCTCATGTTGTGCAGCCTTACCCGTCTCCTCTGTTGATGAATTTGATCATCATCATCAGTGGCAGGTGAGTAGTGGTATGTTGAAGAATTCAACCAACTGTTAGACCTTCCACTGCCACCTTCGTTACCTCGGATCATGTCGTTGTTAAAACCGTCGTTGTTGCCTCTTACTTCTAGAGGCGAGTCGTGAGAAGATGAAGCAGAGGAGAAAGGGCGTGTTCTTCCTCCTCCTCCCTCGCCATTGACTTCATCATCATCTTCATGACCAAAGCTATGGTGTTGGAGAGAAGAGTCGTGGGCTCTCCAGTTGGGGACGAGCAAAGATATTTCGTTTTCTATCATTGCAGCGATCTCCAAAGGATCCCAATCAGTGATCTCAAGCTCTTTCACCATCTCCAAAGCTACTTCAAGAGGTGTGTCGCTTACAATGTTGAACGGGAAGTGAATGTTCCTCACGTGACCTGTTACACAGCCAAACAGATTCATCACAACATTTTCCATCATTGATTCTTCAACAAGAAGCTATCAAAGTTTCACCGTTCATGTTTCTGGCCAACGCCAAAACCCAAAAATCAGAAGCTAAGGTTACAATAGTTCGTTCATTTATCGCTTATCAACAGCTAAGACTAAAGCTGCTCCAGATACTGCAGCCTGGTACAGCTGAGCAAGATTCTAGTAAGAAAGTTCTATACGTACCATCGCCATCTGAAATCTGTACTTGAAGAAAGATGGTGTGGTCTTCTGAGTTCATCCTTCCTGTTATCGACATATCTGTCGTTCTAGTTGGATCAGTCGTCAAAGGTAGCTGCTCCATCACCGTTCCATTTGCAGCCAAATTCTGAATTGCCAGTTGTGGAGGCAATCTATAAATAGGCGCTAAGTCTCTCTCATCAGTTGTGGCGAGGAATGGGTCCTCCAAGAGCTCCTTCGCAGACAATCTCTTTGAAACAGTTTCCAGGCATTTGCCAACAAAACGTTGGGCCTCCGTGTTTTGGATTAGATGGAAGGATTCAGGCAACTTCCCCTGAACCAAATCCGTGTCAAAGAAAGTTAAGAGATCAAAAGATTATTCTAGGAAGATGATGATGATGATTGAGATAAGCCTCCAAGTGTTCTGCTTACCGATGTAACTTTCTTGTATATTTGTGCAGGGTTGGAGCATTCACTGTAAGGGTACTCACCGGTAAGCATCTCTAGGACGCACATTCCGAACGAATAAATGTCCACGAGCTGATTGTAATCTTCTTCATATAGCTCAGGTGCCATGAATTCAGGCGTTCCTAATTAATGGTATATTCAAGTAAGAAGTTAATACTGGAACTTACCAAAATCAACTTATAAAAAATGGAAGGAAACAGAAAAAAAGAGAATGCCTATGACGCTGTGCGCATGTTGTGATTCACGGAGAATTGCAGCTAACCCCAGGTCACCAATCTTGACTTGCCCGAGGTGGCCATTAACGAAGATATTATCGCATTTGAGGTCTCTGTGAATAACAGGAGGATCATGTCCGTGCAGGTATGCAAGACCATTCAAGATCTGGCGTGCCCAGCTTTTGATTGCTCGGATATCAACCTTCTGATACTTCCTTCGATACCTGCAAATGTAATACAAGGCACAAAGCTTCTCTTTATAAGCATGAAATTATAGTTTCGTTTTGTCACAAAGCATGAGGTTGAGAGTTGACATTACTCTCTAAGGGTGCCGGATGTGAACAGCTCAGTGATGAAGTTGAATGTTCGGCGGTTAACGTCAATCCAAGATGTGAAGTAGCGGATAATGGATTCGTGGTTGAGATTCTTGAGGAGATGAACCTCGGAGTAAAGGCGTTGTAAAGGCTCAGGTGATCTGAAAACCTCATTGAGCTTAACCTGATTCCATGCAACTTCCATTCCTAGAACTTGGTCAAATGCCTTGTAAACCGTCTTCATTGCTCCTTTGCCAAGTACTTCTCTAAACTACAAACCCATTGATTCAAACTCATAGTTAGAAAACAAACCATTCCAAGTACGAGAATCAACCCAAAGCAATTCTACTAATCAAAAGCAAATCTTGTTTTTTTACTTAATCAGATTCTAAACTATGAGACCAACATTGTCAACATTTGGGAACTAACCAAAGTCAAATCCTACAAGACAGAGCATCAACAACTTACACGACCATACCGACCAGAAGGATCTGTCTCAACGTAAGGAGTCGATCCATCGGAAAACTCCATATACATAACTTCGTAAACCGATCTATCAGAATCTCAAATCGGAGGGAAAATAAAGAAACAAACACAAAAGAAAAAAATCGAAGATTGGGGAAAAACA